TCTTCAAGGACAAGTCATGGACACGTGGTTCAAAGCAAAACTCAATATCCCTTTTAATTATACCCTAAAATAGTTTCTTTGGTAATATTGGGCTTAAAACCAATCGGTTTTTGAACCTGAAAGTTGAAACCTATTACCTAAATATTTAAAAAATACCCATCGTATTATCTCATGTGATCAAAACTAAACTTTTTGTGTTAAACCTTATTTTTAGTTTGATTTAACTTGATTCTTAATTTTTATAGATAATAGAAAGAAACACAAATGTTTTAGGTATTTTAATTTGTGTGTGTGTCTGTGTATGTATAGCCATATCCATGTATCCTACATTTTACAAATTTGTCGTGTCCCGTGTTTGTGACAGTGTCTGTGTCTACACCCTTATTTGTGCTGCCTAGTGTACCATTACTCTCTTTGTTTAGTGCCATGAGTCGGAGGGATTTTACTAAATATTGGTATGTATATTAAGAGGGATTTGTTACAAAATATTTAGAGGAATTGAATTCTATATGTATCTTGTTAAGAAACTAATATGCAATGTTTTAAATATCAGCTGATAATCCGATATTATCTCCGAGTTATCGGTTTTGGGAGCTTTCTTATAGGATAAGTTGGAATTTAAATCGGTTATCGTTTTTTGGGGTTTATCAGCAATAATGCGGTCATAAAGGTGATTATCGACCGATATTAGTGGCTCTAAAAATCAGAATTATCAGGTCATACTATTCGGTTGTGATTTTGGGTAATGGACAGTTTTTGAGTGACCTTGAAACCCGACCCGACCTATTCTTTACAATAAAACTTAAACCTGATTCTATAGCCCTAATCCTCCGTTCTCACCCTCATTTGTGTGGCTGCCCCCACTGCCCTGATCCTCTGATCTCCGTTCTCTTTGGACTCCGTTGTCCTTGATGCTCACCTCCGCTGTCTTTGGCGCTCGCCTCCGCTCTTCTTCGAACTCCACTAACCTCAACGCTATCGACTTCGACCATTCGACGTTGCTCTCTCATTGACGTCAACTTCATCAACTCGACGACTTAGACCGATGCTGATCTCTCCATCGACACCATCATCAACTGATTGACTCGACGACGTCGACCGACGCATAGCTCTCCATTGATGCTGAGATGTCTTCATCGACGCCATCATCAACTGTGATTTCGACAGTTCGACTTGGACTCTCCATCGACGACACACCCTCAACACAACTTCTGAAGTTGTAGCAATAGGTAATATTCGCTATTCAGTTGGTTATTTCTCTGGTTATTTAGTGAAGGTCAAGAGAATGAAAGAGGGGAGTATGGTTAGATTACATTTTGGGTATTATATTATATGTATATATCATAAGGTATATTACTTCGATAAATACTACTTATCCCCGATATATCCCCGATTTTCGTTATCCGATAAGGACTTTGGCCGTCTGATAAATCCCTGATAACCGATATTTAAAACCTTGCTAATAAGAGATATAATTCAACTTCTATCAGAACCTCTATGTAAATAGCTACGAGCAGTTTTCTTTACATATCACTTTTTAAATCACAACCAAATTACCATGATTTCTTTCTTTCAATTTAACAAAAAGTACATTCTTTCTCACTTTTACCTATAGAGAAATAGTAGTGGCTTATTAAATAATAAGCAATTTTGAATAAAGCTATGTTTTCACTGTCTATTGACAACAGACCCATTTTTAGTCAAAAAATACCATATAAAGATAAACATTGGCCCCTAGTATGGCTACGTGACGCTATACACTAACCATATAGAAATTTAACCTGATAGAACTTTAAAAAAATAAATTCAAACTAAAAATTAGAGAAAGAAGAGGAATGCAAATGAAAAGAGGTGAAAACTTACATTTCATGAAAATGTGAACAACCCTTGAGCCATATATATTCATCAAAAGATAGTGTTCATATAATTAGTGTTTACGTTTTTTTTTCATTGCTCCATAGAAAACTCTGATTAATTCTTGTCTCAAAAGGGATGCATTCCAAACATTATATAAATGATCATATCAATCAATACACTCGAAGAAAAGGAAAGAAAAATAAAACGTTGAGATCCTCTCAAAGAAACACCAATCAACAAAATTATAAACTCTAAAGAAGATGCATAGTTAAGTTAGAAAGTAAACCAAGAATATAACCTACTTTAAAAACTATATAAGAACGGCGGTTCATCTCTCAAACTCTATCTTTCTCAGCCTACACATGCCTAATCCACCCATCTCTATCATCATCCTAAGATGATTCTCCGAATAAAAACAACATTTGTTAAAATCCATAAAAATTTTAAAAATTAATCAAATATCCTATAAAAAGAGAAATATTAGCCTGACTAAAGAGATGGTGGAGTCCAGGAGGGAATTGAAGAATCCTGTTCCTTGCATGAAATATTTGTTCAAATTTTTTTACTAAGGAAACTGTAGACCTAAGAAAATGGCCATCTGTAGAAGTACTGTGGTATAAAGCTATGAAGCACGGACACGCATAACATGAAGCCGTGTCGTGTCGTGTCCGTGTCGGACACACGTGTCGAACACACGTATCCTATGTATTTTTTAGGATTTGCCTCGTGTCGGCCTGTCGGATGGCCGTGTCGGATCCGTGTCCGTGCTACATAGGTATAAAGCAGAAAAATAAAGGAGATATCTAAAGCTTTATAATTATAGTGCTCAAACTTTAAGATAGAGAGCCATTAGTTGTTTAACAGTATTTAGAAAATTAATTATTCTATCAGATTTATTTTATCTCATGGAAGCCAGTAGATTTACTCAGCTGATAGATGGACAAATCTAATAACAGCGAAGAGCTTAGAGGACTTGACAATAGGTCTTTAGGGAGTACGTTTTGGATTTTAGACAAAATGTAAGGGTATTGCTTGGGTTATTTGATTAAGGAAGGCTAAGGAATAGTAACTACTAACTAGTATAGGAATAATTGGAATTTGGTGAATGTGTGGAGAGGGAGGGAGGCTCACATGAAGGATAAATGTTGTTGCATTAGTTATAACTAGCCCTAGTAAGATTAGGAAGAGGTAGTGCATGTTGTATGGAAATTGTATTGTTTACTTTATTGAAGAGAGTAATATTAGAGTATACATGTACGGAAGGCTATATGAGCTTTGCAATTAGCACTATGAAGCAGAAGTATTTGGAGTGCAATTTTTAGCAAATTTACGAGGAAAATGGAGAGGATGCCCTTAAGTTAACCTTTATTGGATGACAAATTTGAGCTAAATGTTTGGCATAATAAAACAATAGTTATTCCAGTCATCATCAAGCAAATTAAAGTCTAGATTAAATAAGCAAAATAAACATATAACCTAAAGATGAGACGAAATCAGCCTAGAGAACCTAAGAGGATCATATGGGCCAGCCTCTGATAGGACAATAGTTATTACTGAAATATTTGGCTTATTGGAATTATAGACCCATCAAGGAAAATGAAATGGAGTGATTTAGGTCCTTCGAGTATCCCTACTGGCATACTGAAGCATTTGGGAGGTAAGGTGTGTTTATAGCAAACATATTCAAAAGAAATTATGAACTAAGACAATGGCTAACAATGAGGAAGAAATTTTGTATAATATGTAAAGTAATGTAGATATTATAAAGAGTCATTCATCACAATCAAAATTATGAATCATGCAGGGAGGCTTTGAAAGTAGAGAAGAATTTATAATTTCCAAAGTATCATATTGGTTTCCTTCTATAGAGGTCCAAAATAGAAGATACTACTACCAATATCAAAGATTTAAAAGAACGAAAAAGTTGGAAAAGCTGATGGAGGCTACCCTCTGGTGTATCTCATCAATTATAGGGAGAAGATGTGTGGGTATATTGATGTGATTAAGGAAATGGATACATAGCAATAGTTATTGTGTGAATAATTGGAGGAAATATAATTGTCCATCTCTGTAGGCTCCTATGAAGAATCAATGTCAAGAGCAAACCTTAAAGGCCGCTTCAGAATATGAGAGTCCTATGCAAATTATTGTTTAGGCATGAGCGAAGTTCCTTAGAATGCAGATTTCCATTGTTGTCACAACTCCAATTTCATGGAAAGATGATTACTTCCTTGATATGTGTTAGGCTATAGTTTTCACGTGGTGGAAGACCTGGGATTTGCTGGAATGTACCCCTCTTTTACTTACAAGGTGTCAGCTTGGATGCTGCATTCATTCTTAATGGGCCTGCCCTGGTTCTGAATGCTGTATGTACAAACATCTGTTAGATCTGAATTAGATGGACTGATCCTCACCATTCTCTCTCATATACAGAGGCATGCAAATGTATAGACTAGTGTAAATATCAAATTATAGCAGGTACTGAGAATTCCAAATGGCTCGCGGTCTGGTTTAACACAGCTAAACCTGAATGAGTCTTATCATCAATCCATGTAAACTTGGTTCAGTACACGTGGCTAACCAACTAAAATCACTACTTGATCAAACCTGAATGTGTCTAATTAGTTCATATAAACCTGATTCAAATATAAACATATAGCCTATAGAAAATCATAGCTGGATCAAAGTCTATCATAGATATCGGGTCAGTCTTTTTTCTTGTTGTAACTCAGAAGTTTCTTGGATCTGACTCATATCATACGGACTTCACACCCAACTTTCATACTTGTATCACTGTATGTGTTTATACCGATATTTTAGACTTAGTGGCTTAAATCATATTAGCTATAAGATAAACTATGCAGCTAGAGAAGCTATTTGGATATTTTTATCAGTGCTGTTAGTCAAATACGATCAAAAGAACTGATATTTTGTATGATTCTACAACCTACTTGTGACTGATAAAAGTATCTTGTTATCTCGGAAGAGTAAACTTCATAAGTATATGTATAGTCTCTGTGTTTTGGACAGATATGTTTCCTTCTTTTGCACATTGCCATTTATTAGGGAGCTACAATGTATTATCTATTCTATCACTTTGGTTGAGACACTGCAATCATCACTTCATTCTCCTCTGTATGCAGGTTATAATGTTGGTTCTTATTTTTATATTCGCTTTGGTACATAGTGGCATGGCAAGCCTTCGAGATACGTGTGAGAAACTCATGGGCAAGCGGGCTTACCGTGTGTTATTTGCAGGGCTTTCACTGCCTTTGGCAGTCAGTACGGTTGTGAGTTCCCTTTAATTTTGATGCGTCTGTTTTAAGCTCATGCTAAGAGCTAATCCTTGCACCTTGCATTTACAACTTAATGGCTTACATGGGTTGTGATTTTTCAGGTTTACTTCATCAACCACCGGTATGATGGTACTCAACTGTGGCAAGTTCAGAGTATCCCTGGACTCCATGAGCTTGTTTGGATCTCAAACTTCATCTCTTTCTTCTTTCTGTACCCATCTACTTTCAATCTGCTGGAGGTTGCAGCAGTTGACAAACCAAAACTGCATCTTTGGGAAACTGGAATCATGAGAATCACCAGACACCCACAGGTATCTTGGTCATCATAATCATGTTCCTCCTAACTATAATGCAGTAAGGCACATCTTAACAGACAAATTACTTTGTTATTTTTAGATGGTTGGGCAAGTGATGTGGTGCTTAGCTCACACCCTCTGGATTGGGAATTCAGTGGCGGCAGCAGCCTCGGTTGGTTTAATTGGCCACCACTTATTTGGTGTGTGGAATGGTGATAGGAGGTTGAAGACTCGGTATGGGGAAGCTTTTGATGCCTTGAAGAGTCGAACGAGTGTGATTCCTTTTGCTGCAATTCTTGACGGACGTCAAAAGCTTCCAAAAGATTATTACAAAGAATTCATCCGGTTGCCCTATCTCACGATTACAGCTTTAACACTTGGTGCATATTTTGCTCATCCCATTATGCAGGCTTCCAGTTTTAATCTTCACTGGTAGAAGGTAGTTAGTTTTGTCCTCTCTTGTATAGTAAATTACATCGTATTTTTATTACAAATTCTAAATACAAATTTGCAAGTCAAAATTGTAACGGAGTTCTGTGCAACAAAATCTCTCTATGACGTCGAATTCAATGTGAATGGTTAATCTTTTTACACTGTTTATGAAACTTAAATTCTTACAAGATTGAGAAGGAGAAACAATGAATTACAGATGTATAAAATCATCAGAGGGTCTCTTGCTATAGCATCAGATATGTCTTCTTGTTGGGTAGGAGCCAGATCTTGAGCGTTCAACTCTTGAGGTGACGGTGCCTCTTCGTACCCAAGTTTCCCTTCTCCAGAAGCACTAGCTATTTGCCATGCACCAGAAGCTGCATTGAAGAACAAAGGAATAATGAAGTGGAGTTAAAAACCCAAGCTAGGATTAGTTTAGCTAAGAACTCACCTTTTTTTGATATGGTGTGATTTGAGTCGTCAAAGCTTATGGGCCAAAGGAAATACCCCAACAATTTATTCCTCAGAGAGAACTTGATCTTCTCATCCACCACTTGAAGACTATCAAAGCTGACCCATAAACCTCCATTATGAAAATAGGATGATACTGTTCGGTTATCATAACTAAGAGAAGGGGTTGTCTCCTTTAAGATCTGTTTGATCTCAAAGTATGCTATTACTCCAGTTCGGTTGCTTAGTTTCTCTCTTGGACCAGCAGCCACAGCTTGGGCACCCAGTCCATTTTTCTCCTTATTCTTGAGATACCAAGATCTACCAAACAACGGAATTCCCATTACCAGCTTACACGGAGGAATACCAGCATCGAGCCATGACTCTATGCAGTAACTCGTGGAGAGGTGGGTGGTTTTATCATAGAGCGGAGCATCAGCTGCGGTAATAAGCTCGTTGGTTTTGTGGTAGCCGAAGCAGAGAGCATTGACCCAATCCAGGTTCTCGGAAATTGCGCTAGCCGGGTAATCAAGATCATCTGTTGGCCCATCAAAGACATGACCTGAGAAGTACACAGTGGCAGTCAGTAGGAGCGATGGCGATGAATCTTCTGCTGTATTATTGACAGCAGCTCGCCACTCAGAAAGCAAGAGCGCGAGATTGGCCATATCAGACATTGAAGATGGAAACTGCCATGCCAAGTCCAAACCATCAAATCCATGTCCATTTGCTAGTTCTATGGTGGAACTGATGAATGCTGATCGTAGAGTTTTGTCCGCCACCATTGTAGAGAAAGCTGCGTTGGAAGAATTGATTCGATGATCATCGGTGGCAATGGAGAGCAGGGTCTTGATCGAAGGGTTGTCAGATTTTACACAAGCAGAGAAGTTTACAAGGAGGGGGAGCTGGTCTTGTGGAGGGACAGAGACTGTAAAGGTGGTTTCGTTGATGGAAAGGGAGTAGTAGTGGAGATGAGTGTAGAGAGAGGACGAGACGTTGGAAAGAGAAGAGTAGTGGTTGGAATTTGAGAGCCAGAAGCCAGCTCTCACTGCTGGAGGACTGGTGCATTGCTTCTGTGATGCTGAGAGATGGACGAATGTGAGAAGGATGGGAACTAGGAGTTGGCTGAAGGGCAGCTTCTCCATATTGTTGATTGCAATGCTCGTAAACTGAGCATTGCTAGAGGGAAAATCTCAGTCTCTGAGACGGTGTTGGCTTTTGAACAGTGGAGTCCAGGTTGAAAGTGAGAGTTTGGTTGAAGGCTGCGGGTGGTGGTGAGCTTTTTATCTGAAGGGAGGTAGGAGAAAAGGTTCAGTGTTATGTTGTACAATTTCTGGATCTGGAACTAGAAGGACAGACTGTGTGTTTGGGGATTCTGAGACTCAGATTGTTTTGCTGCAGCTAATCTTGGAGGTGATTCTAGTACTTGCTTTTTACTCTTTTAGTTAACCAATCCCTAGGTTGAAATCTGAGATTAGAGCATGTTCAGTGCGATATAAGAAATGATTCTTCCAGTGTAGAGATTATTTTTTAAATCCATTAATCAATGGAAGATGAAGTAGGACTAGAGGTATGTCTAAGATAACTAAGAAATAATTAAGAAGGTTGTGATTAACTAAATGGAGAAGATGATCTATTAAATGAAAAAAATATGGTTAAAGGCTTTATTGCTGTTAGTTGTTTTGACCATTTGTCATTTCGTGAGTGTTTATGATTTTTTCTTGAGCGCAAATGGAAATTAATCACAAAAGATAATTGTCCTAGTTATACAACAAGAATAACATGCTATATGAATTACTCTTTTATCTAGTTTTATCTTGGGTTATTACTTCTGCTTAGATTATTATTGCCGTATCCTTCTTAATTGCCTCTACTCAATTTATAGATAGCATTGGCTGCCCACATGATCGAGGAAGGCCGGTAGAATAAGAATCCAATCCCATAAAACAAATGTTTGTCGAGGCTTATATAATAGGGCTTGCAGGTCTGTAGCAGTTGGTGACGGGTGGCTTTGTCGGAAGTTTACAGATAAAGACTATTATATGTGATTTGGTGTCACCAAACTCAGGAAGAAGGTGGACTTTTTGGTGCGGACACTCGATGCCCGTGATTTCTTGTAATGAGCTAGGCGCTTCTCTCAAGAAATACCTTATCAATATTATACGTTGTTTTCCTCTCAATTTCTTCTGATAATTTATGAGACTTCTGCTGTTTAGGTTTCTGCTCGATCATTTCAATTGTCTGTGGCTGTGTACTGTTGTGGAACATTTGAACTGTCAACAGTAAGGAGTTGGAACCTGGTAAGTGGCAGTATTTGCATTATGGATGTAATTATACGTGTAGGCAATGGCTAAAACAAAAAATTTCTCTTGTGGTTTAATTAGTCACTAGAGACAGTGGCTGACATGAAACCATGTGATCCATATTGGATGCGTCTTCGTACAGGAAGCCACGATGTTTTGAGGGTTAAAGGATGCAGCTTTTGGCATCTTTCTTTGGTCTTTTTCTTTGATGATTAGCTACTTTTCGCTGGACTTTTTGGAGTGTAAGAAATAAGAATGGGCTTCTTTAGATTCTTTTTGCTTACTGAAAAAAGAAATATATCTTTCAATGAGCTATGTATAACTATCTTTTGGCTGATGTTATGCTTTTTGGGTTGAGTACGAACCCTATCATAATACTTTCTATGCGAAAATTTGAGTTTTTTTAAATGAAAATGGCACTTTTATCTTTCCTTTCCCTTCTTTATTTATAAAGAGAAATTAGTGGGACTTCTAAATGCACTAAAAATTGGCATGTGTCATACCATATAGGCATAAGAAACTAACATGTATCATACCATGAGTACAAATGTGTCTCTCTATCTGATTAGAATATGCAAGTGGACATCTAATCTTATATTCACCGAAGAATCCTTATCAAATTAAAATTATTTATAATTAAAAAATTCTACTAATTAAATGTTTTGTAATCCTTAATTGTTAGATTATAATTATCCATATTTTATAAAAAAAAAATCTCATAATCATATATTTGAATATATAAATATTTTCAATTAAGAATCCTCTTTAAATTAAAATAATCTGTAATTCAAATTTTTTAATAATTAAATATTTTGTAATCCATATCAAATTGTAACTATCCATTTTCTAAAATCTCATAACCATATCTTTAAGTATAGAAATTAAAAAAAAAATTCAAGTAGAGAGCCTCTCTATACAAAATAATGGGTCGTTTTTAGCAATACCCCTCAACTATTTTAATTTGAGCCCCCCCTCCAAAGTTTGAGTATATATTGTAAATAACCCTCATCAACTATGAAAGTTTGAGATAACCCGCTAAACTTTCCTCACTTAACCCCTCTAAAATATAAGGTGTGTCCGAGGAACAACCCCCCTCGCACCCCCCGCCCCACAAAAAAACTATTTTAGTTTGAGGAACACTCCTCAGGTTTGAGCATATTGTAGATAACCCCACTCAAGTTTGAATTTCCAAAAAACCCCGCATGAACTTATCTCTTTTATGCCTTGAAAGATAACGCCGATAGATCTAGTGTGTAATATGACATGTATCATCAAAAAAAGATGAAAACACACCTCAATCATACAAAATTACTCTGAGTTTTAGGATAAGAGAAAGAGAGTAAAGTGGGGTGTGGGGGAGGGGGGATATTGTAAATCAATCAAAAAAATTACTAGTTGAGAATTTCATTGTACCTAGAATGTCTTGATTTTTAAAAATGTATTTTAGTTATTTTACACTTTGAAATGACATTAAGGGACTTTTGTGAGACACCCCATAGTTCATGAAAGTTTCTAATTTTCTCTCCAATTAAAATAGTTGATTTGGTGGGGTGGGTTTTTTTTGGGTGGGAGGAGGGGGTGTTGGGGGATGTTCTGAGACGTTCATCATATATGACTTACCCATGCAAATCATAAAAGTATAAAATTAACCTATGTCATATTATAAGTGTTCACGTGTTTACCTATCCTATCAAAAAATGATATATGGACATCTAATCTTAATTCACCTAAAATCCTCATCAAACTAAAACTATTCATAGATAAAAAATTCTAATAATCAAATACTTTTTAATCCTTATCAGATTATAATTGTCCACAATTAAAAAAAAAAAATCTCATAATCATATATTTAAATATAGAAATTGAAGAAAAAAGACTCATATAGAGAATCTCTCTACGTAAAATCATGTGTTAATTTTAGAAAACGCCATCAACTATGATGGTGTCTCAGAAAAACTTCACAATTATTTTACATTGAGAAAAACCTCCTCAAGTTTTAGCATATAA